ATAAAATATATAGAGTAGTTATGCACTTGTAAAAAAAAATGACAGTACCAGATGTGTGATTGCCTAGCATCTGCTACCTTTATTCATGGTTATCCATTGCACACACTGTCAGTGTTAAACCTAATGCAGATGTGATGTGTCCCACACCTGCCTAGCATCTGCTGCCTTTATTCATGGTTATACATTGCACACACTGTCATTGTTAAACCTAATGCAGATGTGATATGTCCCACACCTGCCTAGCATCTGCTGCCTTTAATCATGGTTATCCATTGCACACACTGTCAGTGTTAAACCTAATGCAGATGTGATGTGTCCTGTTTAGTCTGAGAACCTCTCTGGCATCCCCTCCTCCCACACACACATTAATTTGTCCCTCCTGTTTTATTCTAGTGAAGCAAAGAGAGAAACCTTGCTTCCTTAGTCCCAGGCCGCTGGAGAGGTCAATGTGGAGAGTTCCCCATTGGAACAGCATAATCCCTGGAAGTATAGTACAGGCCACTGCACTACATAATGAATCAAGTTATTTTCTGGTGTTTTGTCTAGCTAGATATGTGTTGTGTTCTCAGAAAACAGGTTTGGGGGTATTTTTCCCTGCTCTTGATTATTATAGTATCTCACATATATATTTCTTCAATACAGAATGACCCAAGTTATAGCCCTAGCCATGCTAAACTGCCTACTGGCAGGTTGAACAACCTCATATTCTGCCCACCTTGACAACACTTTAGCACCAAGCAAAGGATTCTTTTCACAATATCTTTTGCTCTGCGACCTCTATTGGTTGAAGAGTATTCCCTGCCTGAAATGGATGTGGTCTGTCACTGAATGATGCCCCACTAGGCTAATCCCCCTAATAGTTGACAGGCTTCCCCTTTCTGATGCTATTTTTTGAGAAAGTAGCTCATCTCTCTTATTTCTATATTTGTACTGGCCTCTCCATCATCTTCAGTGTGGGGTACTTCTGAAGTTTACATTTTCCTTTCCTGAAAATGTATTTCAGATAGATACTCATCTCTCTGCATAACCTCCCACCCTTCCTCCTCACTTCTGGCAAGAGTGAGCCTTTGCTTAAATGCTACTGCTCATGGAGATTACTGAATATGGAGAATGTGGTGCTTTTCTAATGGTGGAGGGCTATTATAGTGTAATGATGATTACACCATAAGCTTGTGCAATACACATTGACACATCTAAGGGTGGGAGCTTTGTTCAAGGCTTGTAGCATGTGCAGAAATTTTTCACTGCAGTGTGTGAGGTAATAGTTATTTGTTATGCAGAGAGGTGAGTATCTGTTTGAAATACATTTTCAGGTAAGGAAAGTTTTAATACTCTTATCTTAAAAATTAGATTTTGTTCCATTTTATATATTCTGTCGATTTCTACTTTATTTTATTTTTTTTATAACACCTTTTTCTTTAAATCTTTATTTTGTTGATGGCATTAGTTACCACTTCTGACCTATAAATTATATTTATAATAAATAATTAAAAACAATGTTTACTATTTACACAATTAAAACTTTATTGAAGCTGTACGGCTTCCACTTTAAAACAACACTCTACAAGTACTTGTTTTGACGTGATCTACGTCATCTTCAGGAAAACACTGCATAGTCTGAGATAGATTTATCAGTTTCCTAAGACCCGACATTTTAAAATAGTGTCAGGTCAGACAAGGTAACAAAATTTTTCCGGACAATATTTTTGGTTGCACTTAATTTATGTCTAATAAATAACAAATAAGTATTATTTTCTTACAATTAATTATAAGTTCTTTTATTTATGTGCATTGTTTGCATATGCTAAGTTTAACAATGATCTATAATAATACAAGAGCCTGTCTGTGTGTATGTTTTTGACCACCATAGCACCAAGAGGAAAGAACCTAGAAACCTGAAACTTTGCATGCATACTAAGAGAATTCTGAGGATGTGCACCTGGGTATTATATTTGACTCAAAAACATTTTGGCCAATTTTTTGCCCTATAGTCTTTAAGTCCCATAAGTCTGATTCCTGAAAGTCTATAGGACAGTGTATTTTTTTTCTAATTCTCACTTACTGAATGAACAGCATTTGGAGGTTTTCTGCCAAATACTCTTTTTTTTTTTTCTTCCCAACACAAACAAAAGAAGAAAAATACAAATCTGAGAATTTAAAAAAAGTTGAATTGAACTAAGTTTGGGAAATGGCAACAAACAACAGGATGAAAAATAGAAGTTGGAGAATATTGAAGAATAATAAGAATTCAGATAAATACACAGGAAGAAAAAACGAATCTGAAAAGCAAAATTAAAACTAGTTGCTTTGAAAAAGAGTTGAATTAAGTTTGGGAAATGGCAACAGACAAATCAGTTAAATAATTGGCACATTGGGGCAGCTATAGAAGTAATTGAGATGCTTGACTCGTACACTAAGACCTCTTTGAATCATGAGGGAATCTTAGAATCGAACATTGCAGCATGGGTATTTTATGTTAGTATTCAATAAATAAAAATTTGAGTCACCAAGATCCTTTGCCTTGCTGCTTTAGTCTCTAACCCTAATAAGCTTTACCTGATGTAATTTCACAGAAGAAGATTGTCATAACTTTCAAACAATTATATTTTACCATAAAACATTTTCAGGAATGAAAAGAATGTTTAAAGAAATGTTAAAAAATTCCCAGGTGTCTGGTTTGTTCCTCAGTCTCCTAAACTTCACACTACATTCAGTTGTTGTTCTCTGTGTGAAATGGTCTTGTCCCTTTCTAAAAAAACCACAAATTACTTCTCACACTACTGTATTCACTCTATGTCAATGTAAATAGTTTATAATCTGCTGTAGCCAATGGTATTTATACTTTATAGTTAGCTATTTTGAAAGCTGAGTTTAATTAGTAATTGTTCAATTACCTGTTATAAAAGGATAGGAACCAAGTGGCTGTATTTATGAAATTTAGAAAAAAAGAGAAGAAAGTCATGTCAGAAACATAACATTGTTAATTGTTTTCTCAAGAGACAATAGTATCCTATAGAATATAAATCTATGCTTTAGGGTGGGTAGAACAATTCTAAAAAATTACTAAATGTGTTTTTTACAAGCAAACTTCTCAGAAATGTGCAGAAATACAAGTTTTTTTTTTTTTGCAAATTATGTTAAATAAGTGTTATAAAATGACAAAATATCAATACTAAAATACTTTTTATGAGAACTTGTATAAACAGAGTTGGAATTATTTTTACTAAAATATTGAAATTTGATATACAGATGTACACTCAATACCTGAAAGGTGCTCACTGACCTATAAAGAGTTAATATCAGTATCTTTTCCGAGATTTAATTTAACTTTATCAAGGCCATAATTGCTGTTTTCTACCTTTTTCTTTTCATGTTTTTATCAACAAAATATATGTAATTAAATTACAGTTTTAAAAATTCGAAGAAACTTTCAGTTTGAGAAGAAGCAATATCACTAAATTTTATTGACTCAATATTTGTCTCAGTTTGGCAATTACCACACTCTCTTGGTTCTTTGTTTTCTTTTCAACCTTAGTTTGACGTTAACAAAATTATCATTAGAATTTGTAGAGACATGTTGTACAATACTTGTTTAATTCTCATGTTTGCCAGAAGTAAGCTCTTTTTATAGAAGTGAACACCCACCACCACCTAGCAGTGAAGCCTACCTATTTATCCACATGGCCAAGATAATTAATATTCTAGATGACAAATGATTACTTATTCTTAGGTATGACATTCTTAAAACAAAGTTTTTTTTATTGTTGCAAGATATTAAAACACATCTGGTGTATATCTCCAAAAACATTGTAGTGTGATATTTGTTTGTCTTCCTCTGAATCCCTGTTGAAACATTTAAGGATTGTTCTGTGCCTTCTTATATTGATAAGACTTTTTAAAACAATGTGAATGCATGTTAGCAGTCTTGGGTTGACATCTTGTTACTTTTATAATTCAGAGAAAAAATTATTAATAACAGGAAATATATAAATATCTTATTTTAAGTTTTAAAATATATAACATGTATACAGTTTTGACATGAGTCTCTGTATAGTAATATTCTACTACAAGAAATGATTTAGGTTTCCAATTGTTTATTTATTTATTTTTTTATCTTTGCATGTTTTACCAAGTTGATGTGCTTAAATGTTTACACCTGCTGTGGTTATTCTGTTCTTAGGCTATCATGAAAACAGAAGTTGAAAATATGTTCTGCTGATTCTATTTTATAAAAGTTTATAGTTGAATGTACAGATAACCTAGTTTATAATTTTTTGGTACTTTAGTATTTAAAACAATAGTTTTAAAATTCTTGTATATCATGAATGGGATTTGTAGGATCATATGGTCATGCTGATTGTTTTATTCGTACAATTTTGAAGTTAACATGAGTTCTTGTGAATTATGCTTATAGGATTATAAGTAGTTATGCCTTGTTACATAAAGAAATAACTAGTATAAAAAATATTTGTTAAATATAATGAATATTTCACAGAAACTTCATTGACAGTTATATCATTGAAATTTTAAACTGTCCATCCCTTACATTTTAAAGTTTGCTGTACATAAGAAACCAATAGTAATGGTATTGTAATATGTAGGTGAACAATCTCAACCTATTCAAAAAGAAGTTAATCTCTGGCATTCATACATCAGACTTAAACTAGGATTAGAAATAAAGTTTTTTTATTTTAAATTGCCAAAACTTTTATGGTGACACATAATGTTGTATAAGGTATGTTCAAGCATCAGTGCTGTATACTTTATTGGCAAGTAAGGAGTCACCTCTTTAGAATAGTAGAAGCTAGGAGTATATATGCAGGCATAGTCCACTTTGTAAATTATAGGTGTTTAGTGAAAAGGAGAAAGAGCTTGTGTATATTGTTTTTCATAATTTAATGCTTTGTGGGTAAGTAAGTTTTTGAAAAATGCTATACTTCAATTTTCTATACCTCTGTTTGTGTCATGCACCTAATCCAAATTTTTTGTAATCTCTGCAGGATGGCCAAAATTCAACTTTCAGGTGTGGCATCAGGATAGGCATAGTCGTTGTGAACTTTGGGGATATGGCCTGTGTCATATTCCTACTTCTCCTGGTTTTTATCAGCTTGAGTGTGTGACCTGGCGACCTCTGGGTACCCTTCAAGAAGAAATTTCCCGGTATTTTCTTGGTGGTGGAATGCAGTTGTGTATTCCAGATACTGTTTACACAGGTCTTGACAGATATCGCTTTCAAACAGTTGCCATGGGCAAGGTACACCTAGAAATTTCGGTTGTTTTTCGTAACTTTGAAAGCTTTGGCGTTGAATATTGACAAGAGTTTGCTATTAAAGAAGATATTGTGAAAAGATAACAGGTAAATTTTAATAGTGTTTCTATAATGTATAGAAATAAAGTATTATCACTTTATATAAAGCTTATTGTATTTGTATTTTTGGTACAAATCATTTGAAGTTTCCCACACATCAGAGGTATTTTTTACATAAGTATGTGCTACAACAGAAAAACATATACTTAAAACAGAAGAGTGGTTAGAAACATTCCTTGAAATTTTCTGTATGTTCTGAAGATAGCAAGAAAATATTTCTTAAAAATTTGATAACTATTAGTGAGGAACAATAAAGTACATATTAAATAGAATTCTTAAAGAGTTTTTGTAGTTCCTAAGATAACTTAAACATGTACTGCCTGGAAATAAACTCCTAAAATTCACTACATGTCTGCAGATATTATTTCACAAACCCTACCTGCATTGTATGCACACTTTGGAAACATTATCAATTTGTGTTCATTTGCATATATATACAACTGGACTTGCATATTTAAATTGTCAAGCATCTCCTCTTTGATTGAATGCATTCACAGACACATCGTCTAACAGAAGAAAAACATGCTCTCAAATTACATTGTACATTGCTTTCATTTCCAAAATGATATACTTTCTCTGCACACAGTAGCTATTCTTCACACATCTCTCTTTGAGATTGTGCTTATGCCCCTAGCCTTGAGCTATCTCCCACCTAAGACATGTTATAATGTAAACTGTGCTAGTGCATTATATAATCATCATGTGACAATACTCCTTTACCAATAGGAGAAAAACACATCTTTCATGCACAGTAGATCCTCATAGGAAAATTAATGTCATTCTTGTCCTCGGCACTGTCTTTAATGGATGTGTTTTTAAATTTAAACTTAATCAATTCCATGAGAGTTGTGCTGCCTTTTTGCAGTGTTAACCTTCTTTGCTTTCCTTTTGGTTTGTTTTAACTTCAATTTAAAGTTACATCATCTATAAATAACCTAAAAAATTGATCTGGAGATTCGTTGCATCAACCACGAATTATTCAGTGATGGTGATACTATTACATCCAGCAGAGATTCTGGCAGTATTGTTAACACTGACCCATTTTTGTCTGTGGCCACTGGAGACTAGTTAATTGTGGAAGACATTACACCATAGTTCATTATGTTCTTTGATGCCATCTTTGCCTTATCTCCCTGTCCCTACATCTGAAGTGCATTCTTCTCTTTCTGAACCCAGCCATGATGACAATGACTTTGATTAGTTTTCCATCTCCTGGGTTTGCACTAGGCTCCTTTTTATCTGTTGAGGACAATGATTCTCCTTGAAATCGTTTAGTGTATTTCATTACTCAGGTTTGTTCTTTACTTTCTCCTGTCTTTTGATTCTTCCCATTCTTTACTACATGACTCTCACACCGTGGATTATTTGGTTTTCCTCCTCCTCCAGACATATGTGTCCATATTGTCATGTTCCTGGATCAGCTTCATTCACACTCAAATGCCTCTTCATCTTCAACTCCAGGATTTATTCACCAGGGCTAATAGCTGTTCTTTTCCTTTCTCTATAATACTCATTTTCCTGTCTTTGCCTTTTTTTCTTGCCCATCTCCTTCATTGCCTGTCTTTTCTTCATCTCCTATCTGAAGCCCTACACCATTATCCCAATAGTTTTTTCTGTGGATCTACAGTCAGTCATTTTCAATACCTTTGCCAGGGTTACATCTTCTGCATTGTTCTGCTTACTTGTTTACTCTTTTGTTGGAACCTTCTTGGATGTGATGCTCTTCTCTCTACTGTGGCCATCACACATCCCATTGGTGACTCCCTCATTTTGAACCTAGTTGGCTTATGTTCCTTAGGAACATGGCTGTTTCTGTTTACAGACCTTTGGATCCCTTTTACAGCTGATTGGTGGTTCATTTAGGTTTTTACACAGCATTTCTCATCTCTTTCTCTTCTGATCTCTTTTCCTGTTCCTTTTCTCCCTACTTCTGATCATCAGCATCTTCTGCATATTGAGGCCATGGTATTAGATCTTTTGGATGTGAGAATTATTGAGAGGGTCCTTTGTCCCTCTCCAGCATTTTATTTTCATCTTTTTGCTGACCCCTCAAAGACCAGGGAGTAATGTCTCATCATTGACCTTTCCTCTCTCTATCACTACCTAGTGGAGCCTTGGTTCAAGATGAGGGGTTTTTACTCTTTGTTGCTTCCATTTTTCTGGACTAAGGATGACTAAGGTCAGTGTCTCAGATACCTTGTTACGTATTGTAATTGTCCTATTCTTCCATTGTTTCCTTCATTTTTTCACTGGGATCAGGTGTACCAGTTTTGAACTCTTTTTCTTTGGCATTGCATTAGCTCCTTATGTCTTGGTAGCATTTTCTTGCCATGTCCACAGTCTTGACTTCATTTCCATTATTATTTGGATAACTGACTCTTCCTTGCCTCTTCTCAGGAGGCCTCCTTCTCAGCCACATCACTTTTCCTCAGTTCATCTGGTTATGTTTTTCAACTCATTCCTGACTCTAACTCAATACTTAGTCCACCTTGGAATATTTTCCAATTCTTAACTCATTCAGTCACAGCCTTCTCCATTTGTCTGCTGCACATGAAGTGTCTAGTCACCTCACCTCTACTACCTGCATGAAAGGTTCTATCTCTTTTGGGGATTCTCAAGTCTCTATAACATCTTGTCCCTCTAGGATGGATTCACACGAGGCTTCTTCAATGGACTTTGAGCAACCAATGAAAAATCTCTTGCAATTCTTTGTCTTCTCTTGTGAAACTGCCACCTTTTCTTTTCGAGAATCAGTCTTGGTGGCTAGATCATGTCAACACTATTGTAAGTATACCATTCCTGCCCTCTTGTCCAGATTCGATCTTTTCGCTGATGCATCTTTTATGGGATGGGATGAGTATCTGGATGACTCCACAGCCTTTGGGGTTTGGTCTCCTGTGGAACATACCTTCCACATTATTGTTCTGGAACTCTTGGCCACCAATGAAGTGTGTTTATATTTCCAACATCATCTTGTGGAACACCTGATTATGATCCACTCTGACAATTCTATGGTAGTTTCCCATATCAAATTTCAGAGTGGGGTTCTCTCCAGGGGCCTTTACTTCACATGTTAGACTTTCTGTTTTAGGCCCACTCACATCAGGTTTGTCTGGCAGCTTCTCATGTCCCAGGAGCTTTGAACTTGATTGCAGATCAACTCTCTCAACCAGACAGGGTTCTTTCTATGGAGTGGTCACTCCATCCTTAGGTTTTTAATTGGATTTGTTCCCAGTTGGGCAGGCCAATGATTGATTTCTTTGTTACTCCTCTCAATACTAAGCTCCTTCTCTTCTGGTCCCCATTATGCATCCAGCAAGGACTAGTCTCATCTCATTCTGTATGTATACCCTCCTCTTTGCTTTCTCCACCATGTACTGATATTAATTCGTGACACTCCTTGTCAGGTCTTGTTGGTAGCATTTTTTTGACCAGCTCAGTCATGTTTTCTTTCTTTTTCATCAATTAGCATCCAGGGTACCTCATTCTCTGTCTTCATTTTGGTCACTCTTGCTCCAGCCTCATACATCTCTCTTTCACCCAGGAGTGTCATCCCTCCATCTTCAAAAATGGGATTTGTCCAGTTTTTTGCTGACCAGTAAAATTTTTGCCCTGCATAGTCCTTCTTTTATCCCATTTATGTTACTCTTCTACTCTTTTTGTCCTTCAACTGAACTGGTGTGTTTTTTACCACTAATCCATCTGTTGCTCACTAATACCAGGCTATCCCACTTTTGACCTTCATTACCTGGTTATTTGACCGAGAATTGTCAGTTTCTACCATTGCAGTTTATCAGATGGCCTTGTCAACTTTCTTTGGCCTTTCTCACTTTTGTCTTTTACTCTCCTGTTTTTTCCTCTTTGTTCTGGTCCTTCCTAGTTCATCATTCCTCTTTGTTCAGTACCTTTGCCTGACTGAAACCTTAATGTGGTTCTAGATGTTTTTACTCAGGCTCTGTTTGAACCTTTGGCCACTTGCTCCTCTTACTGTTTCTCTATTAGAACCTATATCCTTCTACTTATTGTTTGGGGTTGTCACAAATCTGATCTTATGCATTGAAGGCCTCCCACACTTTGTTTCAGATTTTCCTTTATTTTATTCTCTGACCATTTGTTTCTTTCGAAGACTTGGAAGATTGTATCTTTTCTCTTATAATAGCAAATAAACAAAAAAAGAATTGTATTAATTGATAATCTAGCTTTTATGCTTTTATATAGGTTGTTTATGTAAAACTAAGCACCTGAAAGCAGTATTTTCATATAAAAATTCTGTATTGTTTTGTACTGTTTTTCAGTTTATACATGCACTAGCTCTCTCCATACAAGCTCAGTCGCTTTGACTGACCATGTGACCTTTTTGTACTCGTTTAAAGTCTTTGTAGATTTAATACTTATAACTCCCAATATAGTGTGTATATCTTCATGAAATCTGGCAGTCTTTCAGTTAATATTACAAGTCTTTCACATACAAAAAATCATATTTTTTAGTGAAGTATTTTAAATAAAATAAAGATTTGTCCATTAATATATTGAGTATTTGGTTTGAATAGTCCATTTGCAAAGTAATTTTCATGTTAAAATTAAAAATACTTTTTCTCATCTCAAACTCTTAAATTTTCTATGTGTAATCCCTAAAACCTCCTAAATGCATTTCAAAGGTTTTTTCTCAGTAAAATTGTATAGTTTTCTGTTATTTTCTCCACCTTATCTAAAAGTGGGATTGGTCAATTCAACCGAACTTGCAACTACTAAAAAACAAAATTGAAATACAGGGATCCCTCGATTAATGCGCATTCGATTAATGCGTTTTCGTTTAGTGCGCTTAAATTTTTTTATAACCAATAAGTGATTAGTGCGGTAACACACATTTCATTTTAACCATAGTAATTGAAAAGTAAGTTTTAGGCACCGAAATCAAATTTAAAAAATAATTAAAATTAGAAAATGAGTAAGTATTTTACTTGTCAAGTTATTACTAGAGTGTCCACTCCGTGGACTCTGACCCCGTCACCCCAGGGTATTTTAGCGATTTTTTTCACCCCTTGCCCCGGGGTAAAATACTTGAAATACCCCGGAGCAAATCTTTACTATTTTACTGAACAAATATCTTTTTCATAATAATAATACATAAAAACCATCGTCATCATGATGATCGTCGTTGTTTATAGGAAGCGCACCATAGATTTGAAATATAAGTCAGTGAAAATGGGTAAAACTTTTG